TCACTGAAAGCAAGAAGGCCTCTCCTGTCATGACAGCTCTATAAAGCACTAACTCAGTGAGCACCTAAAGCAGATGTTCCACACCAACCCTTGATCCACACAAGCACCTGCTTCTGCAGCATTAGCAGCTCAGCATCTGGAATCTTCAATGAGGACCAACTTTTTTATAGTCACATGAAGGCTGTGGAGAGCAAAGGAATTAAACCTAAGCAAGAAGGCCTCTCCTGTCATGACAGCTCTATAAAGCACTAACTCAGTGAGCACCTAAAGCAGATGTTCCACACCAACCCTTGATCCACACAAGCACCTGCTTCTGCAGCATTAGCAGCTCAGCATCTGGAATCTTCAATGAGGACCAACTTTTTTATAGTCACATGAAGGCTGTGGAGAGCAAAGGAATTAAACCTTTACTCCTTTACCACAGCAGGCATCCAACACAAGGCCTTTCCAGGGCACCACTCCATCTTAGCTCTCTGCCCTGCCATGCCTGGCAGCTCCTTCATATCCAGAGGCATTTCTCTGCTAGGACATCACTGCTTCCTCCCTGCACTCCAGGCAGTGGGCAAGAGAACTGAAGTTTCCCCACCCCAGTTACCAGGAACCAGTCTGTCACTCCACACCCTCGAGGAGATCTAGCCTGAACTCAGCAGCTGGAAAGGGATTACTCCTTACTTGCAGCATATACCCAAATAGGTACAGAGGACACACCGAGGAGAAAGAGCTGGGTTGGGCTGCAAACTGAAACACTCAGCCAAACCAGCACAGTACTCTCACCTCTCAATTTTCTATCTGAGAAACAGTTTCTCGTTTGCAATGACTACCGAAACTGTTACAGCTGCTCTGACACCTCCCACTTCTAGGCTCAAGCCTCATTAGTGACTTGTTTCAGGATCCCTGGGGTTTCTTGAGTATCCAAGAGAAACTTCTTCCTGTTCAGTATGGATACTGTCCAGCACAACACCCTAACCTGGAACAAGACATCAAGCAGAATCCTCCAGAATAACACACAGTTATTATATAGATTAACACTTCTAGGTTTCAGGACTAATAATAGATATTGTGATACTAATTAGGATGCTATGATAAATACCTGATCTAGAAGCCCAGGAAGCAACAGAGAGCATCACTGTGCTCAATGCATGTAGAGTTTTACAGCACTTGCTTTTTTTTCCCCCCAATGATTACAGATGTTAAGGAAAAAAAAGAACAGTGTTGGATCACTTTAGTACAACCCAGGGATGGCCATCAGTCATCCAGGCTTCTGCTCGACAGACATGATGGTTCTAAGCACCCAACACATCTTCATGCCTGCAGGCATCCAGTGGAAGGAAATGCCCTCAGTCACTGAAGCTGCTGAATTCTGTCCAGTGGCCTCAACTGCAGCTTTAAAAGTCACACCCTCTGCAGTTTTAGCATTAGCTCTGATGACTCTATGCTACTTCTGCATTCTAAGAAAAAAATCTGGCAGTGGCAGCAACTGTTTACAACATCCCACTGCTGGTGAAATAAGGATCCTCCTTTGTTCTAAAAGCCAGATTAATCCAGGTGTTTTCCACATAGGCTCCAGGAGGTGCAAGGACCCCTTCCACAAGGGCTCCCATGTCACAGAGCTTTCTACTTAGTGTCAGCTACCTTATAAAAACCCTCTCCTCTTACTGATCACC